ACGCGGCATCCAGGATTATCAACTTCTTACAAACGCCAGGTCATTGTGAACTGCGCTTTGCGTTTCGGACCAACGCCGTCCGTGATTTTTTTTATTCGTATCTAGTGGAAACGGAGTAGGCTCTTCGTGAATGTGGAGTTTTGCCCCGCACTCCGGCAGTATAACCCCCCCTATTCCCCATCGGGTTGGTCCCAGTTACGACGCTACTGAGATTCGAACCACGGTCGTCACTCTACAGACTGCCGAGGTCACAGTCTCGTCATTTCCGTTACAGGTCCCCGCGCCATGAGGTGGTTCCGCAGACCCACAGGCGACTCGCCCCGTCTTCTCAGCCTGTCGCCCCTGCGGTGTGGGGGTGACACCTCTGACGTCACAGAGGGAAATACAATCTACCGACAACCCAGCGCCTGCGCAGATCTCTCGCCTCATCAACAACACCGCTCCAGAATAGGTGAGTGACACGTTAGTAGGACCGGACACAGAATCTACTTCTAGGTCATAAAAGTGGCCGCTTTCCGAACATTTCATGGGTCTGCAGTGCGAGCTACATGTCCAGTCCACGGTATCGCCTTGTCTTCAGTGAAACAGTTCCACATTCCGCCGCCAGTCCGTCACCACGACGGACGGGCGCGCGGCCAGGAGCAGCTCGGATTCCGCTGAGTCGGAAGATTGCCAAAGTTCGCCTGTTCCTGGCGAAAGCCAACGAAATGTTTGCTGAAACTGCTAACATATACACAGACCAAAGGTTCAGAAGGACCCGCCACGTGTTCCAAGCAGCCTAGTTCTTGACTTGGCCGTATCTACGGAGTTACGACCTTCGGTTAGCACAGCACCGCGCGAAACACACGTAGGCCGCAGTATTCCTCAGTTCTGCACCTCTCTGAACTCTTCCAAGGGCGAAGTTGTATCGACCAACTTACTTCCTGCCTTCTTCAAGGCCAAGAGCTAAAAATGTACGTTCAGGAAGTGCGTCGTAAGCTGGTGACGCCTGGTTTCCTCCGTTTTGACGCAATTGTCATTTATTTACAAGAACATCGCCCCTTCCCAAAGAAACATGACTCACAAGGCGATGGATGACGGAACATCCTTCCTCCTGTCGTGACGTAATGTGGTCACACCGCTCAGCCGAGGAAAGTCATTACTGCTAAGGTTACTATCGCGATAGGATAAGAGCAGAGCGCTCTTCTGTTCTGAGTGATCACGTACGTTTTGAAGTGAACAGACGAAAAGAGACTCGATAATTGTTCGGTGCTACGGTTTGGTGATCGCGTTCGAGACGAAAGACATCTGTGACCGACCAATGAAGATAAAACAGTTGTTTCTACGTGAGTATAATTGACGATATTTTTATATAGTTGAGGCTCATTTCTGTGCTTTTTGCGTGGCGTCCGGAGCAAATGCCACGCCACGCCCACAAAAACGTCTGCCACCTGCGTGTAACATGTAGTACATTTTCTGAAAATGTGCGCATTTCGCTAGTCACGAACATATTTTTTTTTTACAAAGCTAATCGACAGTTCACGTATTACGCTTCATACAAGCGTAAATAAGTTTATCGTTGCGAAAGCGTTACAAATTACAATCGGAAAATGGATGATTAACCGGATGTTAACGCAATCTTGCCTAACCACACACAACTGTGCAAAAATACGCCCCTCCCCCAACCTCTCGCTTTGAAGAATTACCGAAACTCACAGAACTTTTATAACCGGTTTCTCCTTTAAAATCTGCTTCTAATTTATTAATAATTACGCAGTTCCCTTGCCGTAACCATGGCTACTTAAGAGCTCGGTCCCTGTGCTTGCAGACCTGTCCCCTGTGAGATGGCAGCGTCGCAGAAGCAGCAGCGGGCAGCAGGACGCCGCCGGCGAAGGCCGCCAGGCGTCTCCCATCGCTTCTCGCGAGAAACGCAACCCCCTGCTCGACCGGGTGAAGAACACGCGGCTCTCGTGCTTCCGGTCCGACACGAATGTCCTGACCGTGACGGAGCCGCAACGAGCCGCCGCCGCCGCGGCAGAGGAACGCCAAGGCCTCCTGAAACTGGCGGCCGAGGAGGGCCCTCGGTTCAGCGTGTCCCAGTCCAACGACAACGTCGTGTACTACGCCGACGAGGCGCACGCTCGCCATTCCATGTACGCCGAGATGGGCGGTGATACATCGAAAAATAAGAGCAGGCTCACTTCGACGTCGTGTCTTTCCGCGAAAATTCGGGCGATGTCGGAAAAGTACCTCAGGTCCTCGACCAACAGGTTCCTGGCGAAGCTATACCGCACTTCGCCGGACGACGGTCGGCCCTCGAGGAAGGCCAGGTCCGGGTCCCAGCTCCGCAGCTTCTCCTACGGTGCGCTGCCCGGCCTGGAGGAGTTTCAACGCCGTCACAACCCGCTCTACCACGAGGACGAAGACGAGGACTGCGACAGCGGTATAATCGTCACCGACTCCGCCAATTCGTCCATGATGGAGCGGGACAAGGCGGCGTCCCTTGACCGACGCGAGGTCTTCCGGCGCTTCGGGTGCGACCTCGAGCTGACCGACAAGCAGCGTCGGCGCCAGAGGCTATACGTCGCGTCGCCTCCACCGCCCGTGCCGCCTCACAGTGAGGAACTGGCGCCGCAAAGCCCTGGAGGCGGCGGCGGGAGGGAGTTCAAAGTGGTCAGATTACAACGGAGCGAGCCCGCGGAGGAGCTGGGAATCTTTATAGCCAAGACGCAGCTGTCAGAACAGGGCAGCGCGGGGTACCTGGTGGCCCACGTCGTCCCGGGCGGGTTGGCAGACAGGGATGGCGCTCTGTGCGTCGGAGACGAGATCATCAACGTGAACGGTCGGCGCCTGCGCGGGCTGACAATGGCGGGAGCGCGGGACGCCCTCGGCGGCGGACCACGCGAGGTAGACATCGTGATAGCCCGAACGAAGGGACAGGACGACTCCGCCCCGTCCCGACAGGCAGCGAGACGGAAAAGCACGATGCCGGAGAGTTCGGTGGACTACGAGAACGTCCTCATACTGCCCTCCACGGTCGACACGCCCGCAGAGGAGCAGAGAGACTACGAGGATCTTGTGTTCAAGTGTCCCTCCCCCACGAACAAAGCGATCAAGAAGAGGCAACACTTCCAGAAGAACGTTCAGCACAGCAAAGTGTTCCGGCGAACGATAGCCAGCTACTCGGGCGGGTCAGGGCTCAGCGAGCAACCAGCAGACCCAGGAACAGGTGCGTAGGACATGTTATGACACTTCCAAGAAGGATGTCCCAATGCACTGCTGTCTGTTGAGCAGCGGCCTTACTTCCACGACCAACTTCTGCACTCTGCCCCGAAGGCCACGATCGTCAGTCTGTTCCTTCCACACGGTCATATTCGAGAAGGGAAGTGGAAAGAAGGGACTAGGGTTCACTATTGTTGGGGGTCGCGATTCCCCACGCGGGGCCCTCAGCATCTTCGTAAAAAGTATCCTGCCAGGTGGACAGGCAGCAGAGGACGGCCGCCTCAGAGCAGGTAAGTTCTCGACAAAAGCGGATTTTGGGGACTGAACTGGACTGGCCCCATGCACCAGTCTTCAGGGTCTATAAAAACGGGGAAATATGAAGTAGAGACCACGTCTAGATAACTGACTGACTAAAACAACTCTCCGCAGGAGACGAGCTGCTGGCTGTGAACGGTCAGGTGTGCCACGACCTGACACACTCCGAGGCAGTCGCGCTCTTCAAGAAGATCAAGTCTGGTCCTGTTGCACTCCACATCTGTCGCAGGATTCGAACCAAAGACTCGTGAGTACGTCACCACAACATGAACCTCATTACTGATAACCTCCGTAAAATCATATTGCCACGTAACATTCTACCAGAACTTTGCAGGATCCGAGGTTCTGGCGGCCGTCTTCACCATCACTTCCTCCCCAATCCTTTCCACTTCACCAAGCGTTATCACCTCATTTCACTCTGTGCTGAATAATCTCCAAAATTTATAGATTATAAACCAATCAGGAGATTAGCAACCGCACATCAAGCCTCCACTCGCACGCCTACTTCTCACGCATCCAGCGTGTTCAGCGTCCGATTTCTTTTTGCAGGTCGACAAAAGCGAAATCCTGCACAGACCTGATTCAGGGCGTGGGATCTGAGGGATGACGTGCCGTGTAGCAGTGGTGACAACCCGCTGAACTTCCTGACGGCAGCTCGGTAACTTCCGAGATTTACCTCCCAGTTCAAAGAGGAGCTCAAGGTCACTGCCGAAGCTCGAATTTCAAATGTGAAGGCCACTCCCTTTATGCGGGTCTTGGAGCCCCTAGGTGGCAGATGAGAGCCCAGGCAAGTGTTTACACGTGGCAAATATAAAACGGCCGATACATTTGGTCGACATTCTTGTTAAAAAGAAACGTCTCGCCTAGTTCGTGACTCGGGCGAAGCCACCCAAGTACTGTACGACGCATCTTAGTTACCACTGGACGCTGCTCCGATGCACATTGTAAATACGCTCTATCATACGCAATAAAGAAACTTTGTACCCGCCACAAAACAAGTTCATTTTGTACACCTGTGGAATAAGTCGCTCGCTCCGTGGGAAGAACGTACATCGCGAGTGGAGTTGGCGTGGGAAGTGGAGATGTCATATAACGAGCTCTGTGATTACACTCGCTCGCTGTTGTCGGGGCAGTCAAATACATGAGGATGTCACATTCTCGACACGCATCTTGAGTGGGAGGGAAACGAGAAATTCGCACTGGATTTCAGGAGGGAAAAAAAATCAGAAAATGGGTAGTTGTAAGATGAAGAAGATCAAAGGATAGAACTGGCTCAGGATCATGCCCAAAGGCTGGACATTGGGCAGGTCACTTATTAGCGTCTGAAACTCCTTCCCTGTTCGTGAATATTTATTGACGTAAACACAGAAGTACATGGACGAGTACAAGACAAAATCTTCCCTTAGTAATAAGAACGTCAAAATGGCTGCAAGAAGAGTGAAGATTAGAGAAATAAAGGAGGGGAGGAAGCATGGGGGGGGGGGGAAAAAAAAATTAACGGGATTTACAAACATTACAACATGTGTAACCTGTTTGGAGTACATTAAAGTAAAGTGGAGTAAAGATGGAGCACGTGGAAGCTTTATAATAACTGCAAAAATCTTACAGCAGCGGATAACCGATCTGAAACGCATCGCCACAGTAAATAAACACAATGGATTTACCACACTATAAGATGACACCCGTTCCAAGTAGCGAAATAGGTAGCAAAGGTACAACAGAGGAATCTATGCAGGACAGACTCCTCTTATCTCGAGATGTTCTCCCCCCTGCTAGCGTCACGTCATTTATTAAACTTCCGTTTACCATTAATAATGGAAGGTCTGAAACAAATAATCGCCCTATTCCGTGCGAAATCCACTGCTCGCTCCACATGTTCCTGGGCCGTTACCACAGAAATGGACCAGGGCAGTGGCAGCCAAACTCCAAGACTGTGTGCGTTTGTTTACTAGGGGTGGTGCCCCCTGCTCACTCTGCCAATACTGCCGGGAGTTCCCACCCATCCATCTCTCTTCCTTTATGGATAAAAAAATTATGGAAATAAATTAACGGAGCAGTGCTGGCAACAAAAACGGGGCGAGGTTTCAGGTTCTCGTGGTGGCAAGTATGAAGATAACTGTCTTCCGGGACATAATTTTGCTATACCTCTTCAGACTGTACTGCTCGGTAAATTTCCCTTTTATATTTCTGTTCATTCGCCTGAAATTACTGTTAACACAAACGACGTTCAGTTCTCCGAAGCATCGCGTATTAGCTCTGGACAGAACGCCACCAACTACCGGCTGTTAAGTTGACCGAGCCGCCCCAGTCAGCTTGACGATACGTAACGCTACTGATATACCGTACAAAGGCGTAGAACTTGCCTTCTGCCGAAGAGCTGTCTGAAGACATCCCGCAGCTTTTGTGTGCTACGACGCCAGCATCCGCAACACGGGCCAAACCTCATCGACTGAGCCGTAGGAAGAGGGCGTGCTTGCACTCCTTCGAGTCGGCCGGGAAGTACTTGTCATAGAAGTCCTGGACAAACTCCTCCACCTTGAAACCAAACTTCTGGTACAGGACGACGGCTGGGTTTGTGGCCGACACGTGCAGTGTCAGGTCCTTCCCCATGCAGGTCTGCAACACGCGACACAATGCTGACATAAAGCCGGTTCCACCAGCGCGAATTTCGTTCATTCCCGTGTAACACGAAGTTCCACTCGCCTGTATCAGGTGGTATAGCATGAATGTCGCGATGCCAGCCCGTCGCCACTCGGGCCGCGTGAAGAGGAATGAGATGTAAGCCTCATTCAGCCCCACATCAGGCACCATGAACGCAAAGCCCACCACAAGTTTCTTGTACAGCACAACACAGCTGAAGTCTGGGTACTGCAGACATTCAGTCACTGCAGACACAAAACAGAGATGGACGTTACTTGGTCTTTCCTGGGATTAATTAGAATTTGACAGACGACTATTATGGCTGTCAGACAAAAACACAACTACAGGTAGCCCTCGATTTGCGCCGATTCAGAATAACGTCGATTTTGAAACCAGCAAGTCAAAAAGTGACACAAATATATTTTACTATTATTTATAACGTTTTACAATGTTTCTCGTACTGATTCTTATACTAAATCGTAATTCTTACTTCACTGATTTTGAATAAAAATTATAAATACAGTCATCTCTGCAATTACGTGTGTTTCGTTAACGCGAATTTGCTCCAATGAGATCGATGAATCGGTAAAAGCTGTTTGTGAAATGCAAACTTTTGCATATGCGAGTTTGCTCTTATGCGCTTTAAACTTTCAAAGGACTAATTTAATCTCTGCGGAGGTACCGGGGTTATTTTTAGTACGCGATTTTCTATAGGTCGGCGTCTTACGAGAATGCAACTATCGCATAACAGCAGAGATGACTGTACACATCAATCACGTGAAAGAATCGCAGTCAATCGCGGGGGCCAACGAATTGCCGATTGTAAGTGTATAAAATATATTTTTTAAATTCCCTTTATTTTATTTACGTTATTTCAGAGCTTTAAATGTAATGCCATTAGATTACTCGTCAATGTTTGGGTGCTGGGACATCCCATTGATTTACATTATAAAAGAGTTTCGATTTACGCCGGTTCATTCAGGAACGCATCCACGGCGTAAATCGAGGGCTACCTGTATAAGCATACCAGGAATACCGATACAATAAATTTTATGCCATCAGACACAAGATGGAAATGTGTACTGCAAATATTTGATGTCCATATAAAAATAAAAGGCTTTAGAAAAAAATGTTAACGTACAGTACGCAGTATTGCGGATGTACTCACAGTCGATGCCTGGGTAGAAAAACTCTCGACACAGACTATTAACGGAGGAGATGTGTTGAGGGCGGACATAACTGTAGTCTATTGGGTGGCGAGCAGGTGGACGCCAGTGCAGGACATTTCTGTTTGCCTTTGCCTGAACCTCACCCAGCAGGCGAAGCCAGAGAGGCGCGGTCTCCACGTCACGACGGATATACGGCTTCAGCAACCTACAAGAAGACACAGCTGTGACACTAGGCTCATCACCGGGCAGCGACAGAAACGAATATTCCGTAATTTTTGTGCAACAGACAAGAACTCATCTCATGCATGAAAATAAAATACGACAGGTCCAAATTTCAACTTTTCCACACACGCAACACAAAGGTGAACAAAATCTCTGACCTGTGAGTGTAGGGGCTGTAGAAACAGGATGGCTCACTCTGTCCCATGAGTCGCAAGCTGAAGGAACAGTTAGTAGAATTGGTCTCATCTTCACATGTGGGAACAGCGGCTCGCTGTAAATATGCGGGATTATTACTAACGAGACTGGTTACTGCATGAACTGCCCTCAGCTCAGTGAATCTCCTGCGGTCACACAATCTAAGCTGATTCATTCTTTCCATCACATTTCAGACAAACTGGTAAGTGAGCATTTCTTCATTTGAAATAACAGTTTACAGCAACGACCTATGAAAACACTGATCTGGGCTAACATATATCTGTGACAATGTGCTCTTGGCTAGCGCCGTGTCTCACCTGGAATCTGTCCAGAATGCGAACGTCTCCCATCGCAGGATGCGCTGGGTATCTTAATCCGCCGCCCGGTCGACCAGGCTGGGCATCATCGAGATTGAACAATGCCATGCCACGCTCGCGTTTCAACTGTCGCACGCACAGCTTGCGGTACAGGCGTCGCACGGTCCCCGGTACATCTCCCATGGATGGGACCCC